ATTTGGTATATAAGAAAAGTATTGAGAAAAAAGGTTTTGATAATAAAGATAAAGATGGAAAAGATAGACCATGCAAGATTTGTGAACAAGGAAATAGGGGCAACCGGTATCACAGTGAATCCTCATGTTGGTTCAGAAACCGAAGTATGGATAAACCTCAAAGGGATCAGATAAGGCATGTCAATAATTCTGAATTAGAAATAGAATTAAACGAAATTAATCCAAAAAACTAGTTATTCCACCATTAATCAAAATCAAAGTATTATTAAATGACACATTAGAAACTATGGGTATTTACGATTCAGGATCAAATGTCACTTTGATTAACTCGAAATTGTTGTCATTAAAGAATACCTGTGAAAATAATAGCTTTGAAAATGCGAACTTGAAAACGATTAATGGTGTAAAAAAGACTAAAGGAATAATTACAATAAAGATAAAGATTTTCGAGATTGAACAAAATATGAATGTCTTTGTAGTGGATGAAGAAAATTTTGATTACGACTTCTTGATTGGTTTAGATTGTATACAAAACTTTCATCTTATTCAAAATGATGAGTTAGAAGTAACTCAAAATATACGAAACTCGAAATTGAAATATAATAAAGATGAGATAAATAAGAAAAATACTTCTAAAATTTCGGGTAACAAGAAAAATATGAAAGACGGTATATTAAATAACAATATCAATAGTTTAAAAGAATCTACAAATAAAGACAATCATAAATATAAAGTAAATTTTAATGAACATATTGAAGAATATAATTTCAATATTTCAATAAATCATTTGAATATGGAAAATCAAGCAGAAATAGAAAAACTAATTTACAAATATAAATCTCTATTTGCTAAAGATAAATATGATATTGGTACTGTAAAAGGCTACGAAGCACACATTGATTTGTTAGTTGATAAATATTGCAGTAAAAGACCATACAGGTGCACTATTCAAGATAAAAAGGAAATAGAACAACAGATATCGAAATTATTAGAAGGAAATTTGATTGAGGAATCTTACAGTCCATTCGCTGCGCCAGTAACACTGGCTTATAAAAAGGAAGAAGGAAAAAAATCAAGGCTTTGTATAGATTTCCGCGACCTTAATAAAATTGTAGTTCCTCAATCACAGCCCTTTCCACTAATTGAAGACTTAATGGTTAAGACTAGAAGATGCAAATATTTTACAACCCTTGACATAAATTCGGCATTTTGGGCTATTCCTTTAAAAATTGAAGATAGACATAAAACAGGATTTGTTACCCAAGACGGACACTTTCAGTGGACCTGCTTACCATTCGGCTTAAAAACATCGCCGGCAATTTTCCAAAGAATATTGAGTAGCATTATAAGAAAACATAAATTGACAGATTTTACTGTCAATTACATTGATGATATTTTGATTTTTTCAGAAACATTTAATAATCACATTAATCACCTATCATTACTGTTGGAAGCAATATCCGCAGAAGGTTTCAGATTAAAATTTTCAAAATGTAATTTTGCACAAAACTCTGTGAAATATTTAGGACACATAATACAAAATAATACAATTACACCTCTAAAAGATAATTTGATTGCGATAAAACAATTTCCAATACCAAAAACACAGAAAAACATTAGACAGTTTTTGGGAAAAATAAATTTTTATGGGAAATATGTACCAAATTTATCTATTATATTAGACCCGTTACATAATTTATTGAGAAAAGGACAAAATTTTGTTTGGTCAGAAAAATGTCATGAAGCTTTTGAAACAATTAAAGAATTACTTTGCCAGAAACCTATTTTACAAATATTTGATCCAGATCTCCCCATACATATTTACACGGACGCTAGCATACAGGGTATAGGCGCTGTCTTAAAACAGCCACAAAACAATGGAGAGGAAAATCCTGTTGCATATTTTTCAAGAAAACTGAATAACATACAGAAAAAGAAAAAAGCTATCTATCTGGAGTGCTTGGCAATAAAAGAAGCAATAAAATATTGGCAGCACTGGCTGATTGGGTTAAGATTTAAGGTTTTTTCTGATCACAAGCCCTTGGAAAAAATGAATATAAAAGCTAGAACGGACGACGAAATAGGAGATCTTACTTACTACCTTTCACAATTTAATTTTGAGATAATATATTCTCCAGGAAAATATAACATTGAAGCAGACAGCTTAAGTAGAAATCCGGTGTTAGAGTCAGACGAAAATCAAGACGATAATTTAAGACTTGTAAATGTTATTAAAATGGAAGAGATTCAAAATGACCAACAAAGGAATGAAGATATAAAACAAAATAAGAAAGCTTTTGAATTGAAAGATACAGTTTACTATAAAAAAACAGGGAAAAAAACAAAGATAGTACTAACAGAAGAATTTAGTAGAGACTTTATAAAAAAAATACATTATCTTTACTGTCACATTGGAATTCAACAATTGAAAAATAAAATTACTCCTTTTTATGCAGCGAAAAACATGACTTATAATATAAAGAAGATATGTGAAGAATGTGAAATCTGCATAAAAAATAAAACAAGAGGTAAATATAAATATGGACTAATGTCTCATTTGGGTCCTGCTACCTACCCATTTGAAATAATATCTATTGATACAATTGGTGGATTTGGTGGCACACGTTCTACAAAAACATATTTGCACCTTCTCGTGGACCACTTCACAAGATATGCCTATATTTTAACATCGAAAACTCAAAGCGCCAATGATTTTATAAAGCTAGTTCAAAAGGTAACGCAGTTTGGAAATAAGATTGGCATGATTCTATCAGATCAATATCCAGGTATAAATTCAAAGAGCTTTAAAGATTTTTTAAATAAGGAAAACATAACTATTATCTTCACCGCAGTTAATGCGCCATTTTCAAATGGATTGAATGAGAGACTAAACCAAACCTTAGTAAACAAAATTAGATGCAAAATAAACGAAAAGAACAATAAACTGGCGTGGACTACTATTGCTCACGAATGTACAAAAAAATATAATGAAACAGAGCATACGATTACAGGTTTTTCCCCATTATATCTATTGGAAGGAGAAAATGTAGATATATTACCTGAAGAAATAAAACAAAAAAGAACACTAAATGATTTGTTGAAAGACAGAAAAGTTGCATTGGAAAATACGATAAAATCACATACTTATAATAAACAACACTTTGACAAAGGTAGAAAAAAATGTGAATTAAAAATAGGAGATTTAGTATATGTTGAAAACGGAAATCGATTAAACAGAAAAAAATTGGATGAAATAAAAATTGGACCATTTAAAGTTTTAGAAAAAATTTCGAATACTATATACAAAGTTGATACAGGACACAAGAAATGTGAATCAAACCTCTATCACATAACAAAACTTGTTCCAGTGTTACAGGAGTAAAGATCCTGCTGGATTTAAAGGGGGGGGGGGGAGATGTAAATGAGGTTCATTACCCTTCATTCAATACAGACGGTAAAATAGTGAGTGACCATAGAAAAAGATATGGTTTTGACATCCGTCAATTAATAAATAAAATATAATATTTGTGCACGAAAAATTGTACGAAATAATAGCTATAAATGTTGTTTCTCATTTCTGAGCAACACAATTGTTTTATTTCGTAATTAAATCTATTAAGTTTATAAAACCTCATTATATATATATAAATAAACAAACTTTCAATTTCAATTTTCAGTTTTTCAATTATGCTTATTAGTACCTGTGCAAAAAAAAAAAAAAAAAAAAAAAAAAAAACAATATTTTAAGTATGCACTGAATTGTTTGTGACTGTATTTTTTTTTATTGTTACATAGGGTTTAGATTATTTTGATAAGTGGAGATGTTAAAATTACTATCAAAATAATATTCTTTCTTATATATACTAATAATGCCATCTGTTGTCAACTATTAGCATCTCTTGATAATTGTCTATTGTCTCTGTATTAAGAAAATAAAAGTTTAGTCTTTGAACAACCTCCCGGCGTGTTTTATTAATTACAAGCAATTACAATGTCCATTTGGGGCTGTAACCTCTTCACGCTAAAACTATTGAACCAATTAAGATTAAATTTGCTATATAGATAGTTTGAGTCCCGGGAAAGGATATAGAATAGTTTTTATACCAGAAATCATCCTTGAAGGGGGTGATATGAGAGTTGCAAGTTTGTATGCGAAATAAATTTTATTGACACAGACTATGTTCTACCCCGTGATTCAAACTATCTCTATACCAAATGTCATCTAAGTTTTTACCCCAGAAAGCATGCTTTAAGGGGTGAAAAGGGGGATATGGAAAACTTATCTTTCGACGTTACACACAAAGTGGCTGAATCTGTTAATTGTAATATATTAAGCTAGAAAATGATTTACATATGATGATTTAGCAGTAGAAGAAGGTATATAACTGGCACCTGGGATATATTTAGCTGGGGCTACGTGGTTAAGCTATACTAATAGATGTGTCCGATTGTTACCTGTTCACGCATAAACCGCTGAACCGATTAAAATGGAATTTGCTATTAAGATTTGACAGTATGAGTTCCAGAAAAGGACATAGGAAAGTTTTTTACTTAGAAATCATGCATTAAGGGGTGAAAAAGGGGGTAAGTTTAAAAAAACTAATTTTTCGACGCACACGAAGTCGCTGAACCTGTTAATTGTAATATATTAAGCTAGAAAATGTCTCATATCTTTTGATTATATCTCTACATACAATTTCTACTTAAACCTGGTGGACTAAGGTTACGTGATTAATCTATACTAATATATGTGTGTATGTTTGTTACCTGTTCACGCTAGAACCGCTAAACCGATTAAGATGGAATTTGCTACAGAGATAGTTTAAGTTCCAGAAAAGGGCATAGGATAGCTTTTACCTCATAAATCATGCTTTAAAGGGTGAAAAAGGGGGTAAAGTTTGTATGGAAAAAACAATTATTCGACAAACACTAAGTCGCTGAACCTGTAAATTGTAATAAATTAAGCTGGAAAATGGCTCATATCTTCTAATGTTATCTACCTGGCGGTGGTCGATGGTACATAACAGGCGCTCTCGCTATATCCGGTGCAGGTTGCGTCACCGGAACAGGCACTGCCACCCTGGGGGGTAGCGGTTCGGTGCCCGGTGGAGGTTCCTCCCCCGGGGCCAGTTCCGGCGCGTATACTTCGTCCAGGGTGGGGGTTCCCCGCATTTTGGATACCAGCATTGTGTAATCGCAGTCGGCTGATGGACGGTAGTGTATACTAGGGATGGACGGCGCCTAGGAATATGAGAAGTAACATTTTTAATATGCAGACAGATTGATTTATTAAATGAAAAATAAATAAATATTGCTGGTTCTCACACAAATTTACACTAACCCCAAAGTAAGCACTGTAAAGCTTGTGTATTTATAAACTCATTGTATGTTCAAGAAAACTTGAACATATTTATATAAAACCCCTGATATGATTTTATCACTCTTTTTTTTCATGAAGCTGTAAGTTTATTTATTTCTTAGTAGCCTGCCCTCGCTTTGCTTCGGTGTAGAGCTGCACTGTAGACCATAGTTTCTGTTCTAAGGCTTGTGTTATACATAATGAATTTCTTTATATAATTAAAACCTTATGAAATGTAATTATAAACCATGAAATTTTTTTTAACTGATAGTGACAATTTTGTTGCTGTAGTTTAGTACCCGTTGTACGGAATGCACAATTTTTTGGTTGAACGCGCAAATCTCAGGATCTATTGGTCCGATTTCAAAATATCTTTTAGCATCAGATAGTGCATTTATTGAGGAAGGCTCAAGGCTATATAATATTACGCTGCAATAAGTAGGAGCGGAATATCGATTTAAAATGTTGCAAAAACGGATAAAAATATTCCATTTGGGAGATTCCGTTGCGTGCGCTGCGTAAATGATTAAAGTTACACAAAAATGATTAGTGACGGAATAGTTCCCCTTTAAAAGTTCTATCAAAAAGTCCCCGACTACATATAAATGCTATAGTGAGTCAAACTTAAAAGATGGGCCTTTTAAGTTTGACTCACTTTAAAATTTTTCCTCAAATTAACGCGGGTGAAAGCGCAGGGCACCTTTAGTTGTGACAACTGCAATAGTTAGACATATGATATCGCAGACTTTTTTGTAGATATTGATGTCCTCTATAAAACTTTACTACATCACTTTGCTCTATTGTCAATGAATTCTGCAGCGTAAGCGATATAAGGTTATTTTTTTTGTATTTTTTCACACCCTGGGTTACATTATCGAAATTTACATACGGAACCCTAATTTTTTTGAAAATACTCTATAGCCTATGCTCATCAAGGAAAATGAAAGATTCTAAGGCCCGTATTATAGAAAGATGCTCAATGAATGATCTAGTCTTGAGCATAGTTAGAAAGGGATGTCGCTACATATAGCACATAGCGACATCCCTTTCTAACTGTACTCAAGTAAAGATCAACACTTAGTTGTCATTCTGTAATACGGGCCTAAATGTGTAAGCAGACTCGTCGAGTGCCCAGGGCCCCTCAGATCACAAATACAAAGTCCCTAGTTCCTGTTAGATCACCAAACGGGGGTCATAGGGGCCCCATTATCCTAACATGCCCAGGGCCTCCAATAGGTCAAAGACGGCACTGTGTGTAAGAATTTTTCAAATCGGTCCAGTAGTTTCGGAGCCTATTCAATGCAAAAAATCAAATCTTTCCTCTTTATTATATTGAAATGAAATGAAATATGAAATATATTTTATTGGAACAAAAACAGTGAATACAATAAATGTGTATGAAATAATTGCATTAGTTATAAAAACTGTGTCGCAACTATTAACGCCCACCTCTGAGAGTACATTGGAGTTCCTTACATACAACAAAGTAAAAATAAATATGATGAATGATTTAAATTTAATTTAACGTACTTAAATTAACAAATCATTTAAATGCATTTTATGCGTGTGCGCATGGGTATGTGTGTGTGTGTGTATGTGTGTGTGTGTGTGTGTAAATGTGTGTGATTGTGGGTGTGCAGCTTAATGGAATAAGCTGAGGTTATCCTCCATTACTATCTACTCAGAAAGTCTTCTATCTGCTCATAAGTAAGTATAGTATTAGTATAGATAACTTACCGATTCAATGACAGTAGAAGCCAAGCTAGGATGTAAATATTCTTCATTATCTGGTGGTTTCTCTGAAAACAAAATTATTTTTGTTAAACAAATTCACATACAATGTTTTGCGTCATAACTAGAGATCGGATAATTGGATGCAGAGGACCAAAAGTATTTTTTTGGCTACGAATTTATGTTAGCGGCTTCTATTTCTATTAAAAATAATATCCCGATATTCCGGGATCGCATATGTAAACGGATGTACTCAAAGTTAAGTTTTGATTTCCTATTCGAGTATGGGTGTGTATGTAAGGTGTGAGAGAAATGGTGAATAAATGAATTTATTCATTAAAGACATCTTACACATTTTTTTATGTTATACACAGGCCAACCGTAATTTAGGGTTAATCTGGGTTTATTAGATCTCACGGGTTATACACATAAATTTGAATTTTTCGGAATCGCGGGTTTTTTCGATAATAATAATAATAATCCATTTATTCATAAACAGTTTTACAAAATAATATAACAGTCACCCATACTAGGCGAAGCCCGTCCTATGGGGGAAGTAAAAAATTTACAATATATCATTTACGGCCTAAAAATATAATCAAATAAAAACTAAAAAGAATGGATACATTGGTGATACGCGCGTATGTGTTTGAGTGTTTTGTGTGTGTGTGAAACTGTGTGTTGTGTGTGTATGTGTATATACAACTTATTATCCTTAAAAGATTCTCTGCTCTGTCATACGTCCATTTTAATATCATTTTTGAGATGTTATTTCGCATCTCCCGAACGGAGCTGTGTTTGAGATTCGTTAAGTTAACTAGTTGGTTATAAATGTATGGACCGAGAAAAATTCCGAAGCGTTTAGCAAAAGAGGTAGCAACAGTAACATTTGCTATTGAGAAAACTCTTTTTTGCAACATCTCACTGTATTTATTGCCCCTTAACACTGTTTTGTGCACTGAGACGACCACTCGCAAGTATAATTTTCTGACACTCAAGACTTGAGCTTCTTCGTAAAGATAAAAAAAGTGCATCCAGTTATAGGATCCCTAGTCATAACATCCTTAAGTACTATAATTAATAAATTATAAGCTGCTTCTTAAGCAACCATTTATCCTTTAATAGTAAAAAAAGCGGCCAAGTGCTCGTCGGACTCGCCCATGAATGGTTCCGTAGCAGCAAGTAACATAATATAAAACCTGTCCCCCGCGCGCTCTGCACCCACTACCGATCAAGCCGCGCCCCGCGCGAATAGGGATGATGACTAATTTTTTTTTCGTCGTTTATCAGGTAGATTATCAAAAAATAATGGACACGTATTTTTTCTTTGGGCAATCAACCAAAAAATGACAAAGTTATAGCGCGTCAAAGTTTGGGAGTAGGGGCTCGTGACGTCACTTTTGAATGAATTTTCACTAATAAGTGTACCTTGTAATCCGACAAATTACAAATCTAAAAATCTATTTCAATTGATTTTATGTGCAAATCAACAGTGATAAGCGTGTCGGATTACAGGGGGCGCCGGATTAGACGGGGTCCGGATTACCGCGGCTCTACTGTATTTGAGTTGATTGAATGAAAGGTAAATAGCTGTTTGCATAGTAATGTACATCACATATTTTTTTTAGTTTTATCATTCTCTTATTTTAGAAGTTACAGGGGGGGGACACACATTTTACCACTTTTGAAGTGTCTCCCGCGTAAACTATTCAGTTTAGAAAAAAAATATCAGAAACCTCAATATCATTTTTGTAAACCTATCCATAGATACGCCACACGTATTGGTTTGATAAAGAAAATGGAATTTCAGTCTTGTATTTTTATATTTTTGTGTGAAAATCTTAATGCGGTTTACAGAATACATCTCCTTACCAAGTTGCAACAGTATAGTTCTTATAATTTCGGAAAAAAGTGGCTGTGACTTACAGACGAACACACGGACTGAGAACGAATCTATAAGGACTCCGTTTTTTGCCATTTGGCTACGGAACCCTAAAAATGAGTGTTGATTAACAGCAAGCAACCAGCAGGCATTTGTGTACCATGCAAAAATATGTTCTATAGACCCACAGTAAAGTTTGATTTTGTTTATTTCCAAAAATGCAGGCCGGCTAAGTGAGGATCGCTGGTGTGATAGGTAGAACTGTGGTAGCTATCTTCACGTCTGGACTTCACCGTCACTTAACATCAGGTGGGGTGGAGTCATTTGTCGGACCTATCTATAAAAATAAATTGCTAAAGGTTGCTTTCTGCTTAAACAATCATACTTTAACAATGGTCCACAGAACTTATTTTAATTAGCTTCAAAAATGCCCAATACTCTTTCTACTTCATCATCATCAGCCTATTAATATCCCCACTGCTGGAGAACAGGCCTTCCCTATGGATAGAATAGGGAGACTAGGTCATGACCCACCTCACGGGCCCAGTGCGGATTGGGGTGTGCTAACGACTGCAGATGCAGCTGGGACCAACGGCTTAACGTGCCTTCCGAAGCACGAAAGAACTCGAGATAGAAGATTTCTGGTCACCCATCCAATGACCAACCTCTGCGAAAGTTGCTTAACTTCAACGATCGTAGCCGAACGCACTAACCACCATCAAGATCGTAACACTGCTCAATTCAGCTTAACTTATTAGATTAGATTAAAGTTTCATGTTTTCGTTTCCAGATTGATAATTCCTTTCATAATCAATGAAACGGAAAATTAAAATTAATTCACCTTCAACAACTTCTACTTTCTTCTCGGGCCATTTTTCCGCTTTCACAAGACCAGTAAGTGTGCTATAATAAGCATTCAGGTTGGAGTCCTTGTTGAGGAACTGGAACTGAGGGTTGTCGCCCTGCTTGGCCTTAATCAATATCTCCATCTGGGTGCCTTGGCTTGCTATGAACTTTGCCGTCTTCTCTATGATGGCATTCTGCTTCAGAGATTCAGGCTGCAGATAAATGATACATTATGTTAGCAAGAACTTGTTCTTTTTTAATTCAACAGCTATTTATCAAACTTATACCCCCTTATTAGGAAAGGAATAAGCTTAAGACTATTTACATATTTTGTTAATATCACTCAAATGCTATTTGTATTACAATGAACACTGACCAAACATGGAGTAACTACTCCAAGCTTATTCAAGGTTTATAAATCTGTCTGTTTGCATGTAAAGTTTCATCATCAGCCTATTAGTGTCCCCACTACTGGGGCACAGGCCTTCCCTATGGATGGAATAGAAAGATTGCGCCATGACCCACCACGCGGGCCCAGTGAGGATTGGTGGGTGCTCAACGACTGCAGATGCAGCCGGGACCAACGGCTTAACGTGCCTTCCGAAGCACGGAGGAGCTCGAGATAGTAAATTTTTAGTAACCCATCCAATGACCGACCACTGCGAAAGTTAAGTACTTCAACGATCGCAGCCGAATGCGCTAACCACTTGCGCCGTCGAGCTCCTCTGTATGTAAAGTTTAACAATAGGTTTGTAATTTTATGTAATCCATGTATGCACTCTTTAACACTTTTTTTTCTGCTTATTAAAAAAGGACTTTTGTCCTAAAAGGACATGTCAGTTCTATTGAATCCTTATATATCATAATTAATACTTAAGCTAAATTAATTAAATTTGCGCTGCTATTTGACATGCCTCACCATATCACATAGCAGCTATAGTATATTTTCAATCTATTATCTTGAAAAAGTATTATACAAAAAGAACTATTCAAAAAATTATGAACGCAACATATAATGAAACAGTTCTTAAACAACAATCTTATATAAAGTGGCAATTAATTTAAATTAGACTAAGGAAGATGTAAAATCTACTGTAAGGTAAAAAAAAAGAGATTTATGTTGAAAGGTTAATGATAATAAGATGGTTAAGCCAAGAAGCAGCCTGGTGGTTGCCGAACTTGGTGCCTCAATCCCCTATTGTACAAGTTCAACGAGCATCCGAAAGTCGGTCACATCTCCAGGATATGTCTGGAATAGCTTCTAGGGAACATCGAGCCTATAATTGCAAGGACAGTTTTGACATAGCATTCGGGCATAGATAGACCACAAATTACAAAAGGTTACTTAAATTTAGAAAATTTACAATTATTATATACTGTATCCAAAATAAAACTAATTTTTATGACTTATTCTTTTTCATTTTTTAAGACCTAATAAATAGAGAAAACTCTCAAGTGACAGATGTCAAACTTTTAACTATATTTATTTATTGAAGTAATGGCGTAGATACTACTTTACATTACCAAAATCATTCCTTCTGGAAACAATGCTTTGTAGGCTGCCGTGGGTAGGAAGGGTTCCTCAACTTCTGCCAACGGTGCAGATTCTTGCTCCTTGGGCGCGTCATAGTTGAATCCGACTTGTCCGTAGCCAGCAGCATGCAACCTCTTCAATTCTTCCTCTGAGATATCAATTAAAATTAAACAAGGTTATTGTTAGCATTTCATTTAAAAAACAAAATACCCGACTGCACACTAAAAAAAGAGTAAAACAAGCCACACAATAATATTGATCAATCAAATGCTAAAAACTAATTATGTAATACCGTTTAAACAATACCTATATTAAAATACACTACAATATGTGTTCGTAATCGATAGTTAAATAAACAGAAACTTATTTTGAATACAAATTTACTGAATATAATTTATTTATAAATGTTGATGGAAAGCATCGCAGGCGGGGACCAACAGAGGCTTATTTATAGTCATTTCGGTTGTGCACCATTTAGCAGAATTTTCGTTGGTGGCGGTCAAGGTGGTCCCCGCCTGCGATGCTTTCCATCAACATTTATAAATAAATTATATTCAGTAAATTTGTATTCAAAATAAGTTTCTGTTTATTTAACTATCGATTACGAACACATATTGTAGTGTATTTTAATATAGGTATTGTTTAAACGGTATTACATAATTAGTTTTTAGCATTTGATTGATCAATATTATTGTGTGGCTTGTTTTACTCTTTTTTTAGTGTGCAGTCGGGTATTTTGTTTTTTTAATAATAATTCTTTTATTTATAACTTTTTAGCTGTTTTTATTTAACGAAAATGTTGTAGATGTAGAAGACTATGTATATGTAAGTACCATTTTAAATTATTTCGACGACATTTGGCTTTAGATTACGAGTGATGTTACTCCGCAACATAAATTTACCGCCAATCTGGACTGTTTGTAGTGAAGAAGAAAAAGAATTAGGTGAGTCATTACTGCTGAAGATCCCGCAAACGTTCAAGTTCAGTTAAAGAACATTCGTCGTGGGGCCGGTCCAACAGCTTTTTCGGGTCAAGTGTTTTTATTGCTAACCCAGCAAGTGTTTTAACACGGCTTAGGGCTACATAAGCCTGGCCCTTTGCAAACACGTTTGATAGGTCCACGACAGCCCGATCCAAGGTGGTACCTTGCAGTTTGTGTACCGTTACAGCCCAACAAAGTATCAAAGGCAGCATCCGACGTTCAATCTTCCCTTGTCCGCGAAGCGCATCAAAGTCGACAGTGGAGGGCTCTATGCGAACCCCCACACCCAATTCATTGCCCTTAACAGAACGATCGTCGAACTCTACGAATACTGCCTGCGGTAACTCACCTGGTTCTAACTGCTCTCTGCGAAGAGAAGGCCACTCAATTCTTCTTATGATACCCATAGCACCGTTCACCAGACCGTGGTTTACATTGATGTTGCGGCGTAACATCACGCGAGATCCAATTCCAATAGTTAGTGTGCCGAGAATGCCCCCTGTTTTGTTCGGGTCGTCAGAAATGTATTGTTTGCGAGGGCACTGACCGTAGGTTTTAGCTTCTAGGGAGATGTCAACAGCTTTTATTTGGTAGAGCTTTAACGATTTGCCCAACTTTTTAGTCATGGCTGAATTATAAGCATCGACTTGTTTCGTAGTAGGGAAAATTCGAACTGCCTCTCCATCGGCAAATGGACCCTCTAGTGGAATTCTGCGGCTGTCCAGGATCTCAAGTTGGTCCATCGTTAACTCACCAACACGAATATTATTGAGAATGTCCACAAAGGTATTGTCTCCTGCCTGTCTCATATTCTGTGGCAATTCACAAAAGCTGAACAATTGCCACAGATTTGTTTCACCAGTTAAGTTCGACGGCTGTCGGAAGCAGTAAGAACCACCGGTGATTCTGGAAACTGGTGGTAACTGCATGAGATCTCCAAACAAAATTACATTGATACCACCAAAGTTCCCTTGATCCTGTTTTAGTTGCTGGAGGCGAATGTGAATGTTTCGCAGTGTTAAGTAGGGCACCATTGATATTTCATCGATGATGAGCCAATTTATATGCCTCCACTTTTGTCGCTCCCTTTGTAGCCTTTCACCTGTTAGTGGGCGTAATGTTTCATTTCTTCCCTTTTCAATTGGTAGCGCAAAAGTGGAATGCAGTGTAGTTCCACCGATTAGTCTGGCTGCTACTCCAGTTGGTGCAGTAACAATCACGTTTTTACCTATTTCAGTGTTACTCAACCTACGAATTTGTTCAGTCATAACTTTTAAGGTAAATGTTTTTCCGGTACCAGCTCCTCCAGTAACAAAAACTAGTAACGGATCAGAATTTGACACGTCCAATAACTTTTGGGAAATTTTTTGAAACAGTTGTCGTTGACTTATGTTCAACGAAGCTACAAATGTTTCAAACTGATTGTCTAGCATGCCTATGTCAGTTGGTTCATCTTCGACTTCTTCGATCATAATATTATGACCGCCGTCGTCGAGTATGTGTTCAATAGGCTGAACGTCATTGTTGTCATTTGCGTCATCGTTTTGTTCCTCAACGGTTCCTGCTGCCAAGTTTTCTGCCACAATGCGGCTTATAGCTTGTTGGATCTCAGTTTCCCACCGCATCATAGTTTCGGCGTCAAAACCTTCTTGCAGCGGACGTAGTCGATGCCTTTTGGCCCAGAAAGCTTCTTTTGCAGTATTAAAACCATCCAACAACTCTTCCTCTGCTCGGAACGGAATATGAGTCAGGACCAATGAGTAGTAATATGCTTCTGGGTCTGAAGACAGCGTATAATAACGCGTTCGGAGTATAGCTGGACGTGTCCGCTTTTTCATCCTACCTACGTTGTCTAATAAGGTAATGTATCGACGACTAGACACGTCCTCATCCTCTGCATCATAGGCATCAGCATCTTGTTCATCCTCCTCTGTATCGTTTCTAGTAGAGGCAACCTCGTACCAAATCGCAAACTCACCTAAACTAAGTTGCTCCAGAGAAAGAGGTCTGTGAACGTACCTATCAAATACATTTTTGTACGGTTCGGAACTTTCTGTGTCAATCCTAAGCATTCGGTATCTTTGTTCAGGCGCGCAAGTGTTTACGAAAACACATTTACGTGAACTATCTCTTAATTTTAAATGACACAATCGAAACGCACATTCGTTGGCAGAGACTTCTCTGTGAGACAAGATTGCGTTTTGGATAGCAAAAACCAGCCGTCCCAAGTTGCTTCCACCGCGGTCTCTTACAGCACTTATAGCTTGCCTTATTGATCTAGAGACCTCTGCAGGTTCAGCTTTTGAGATATACTTTGAGATGTAGTACGCCACACCTAAAGCTGACCCGCAAGGCTGTAGATCAATATTGGCGCGCCACAGTTTTAATAATCTCGAATTGTAGCAGTTTATCATGGTTTCCGAATCTGTTCTTTTTAATATATAAAATCTTCCACCATTTCTCATTGCTTGCTCGTCGTCTAAGATTGTAGTGTTTTCAGACACTGGTCTCGGGAAAGCGAATCTACAAACGTTTCGGTTATTTTTGAAGCATGTTTGAGTGTGTCGATGTGTTTGTAACTGAACGACTAAATCATGCATCTCTGAGTCGTCCTCAGCGTCGGGAACCTCACACGTGACAACACGCTCCAGCAACTGAATACCTTCAGGGGTGTCAAAAGCCGGCATATCAGCACACCATAAAACCATGTGAACGTGAGGGCTACCTCGTAGCTGAAATTCTATGCGCCACCAAAAATCAATAATTTTCTTTCCTAAAATCGGATCCTCTTCTCTTCTCAGCCTAGTAAACAAAGTGTTTAGGCGCAACATAAATTGTCTTGATAACGTGACTGGGTAGGACTCGACAAGGTGCTGCTTTTCAAGGAAGGTCAAATCTTCAAAAGAAAAATTTGGGCGGCCATCGGCAACTAAAAGGGCTTTTAGCATGTCGGGCCAATTTAAATCGTTACAAGAGAGAGTAAGATACCAATGAGGAGGACCTAAATTTTTCACCATGGCAAGAAGATCCGTATACGCTTTGTGCCAGTACGCGGACGTGCCACGTATGTTGCGCATTACCAGGTGCACATTTTGTACAACATCTGTGGGCTCAGCTCCATCCTGACGCAACCGGCCACAGACTGAAACATTTTGTTGAGCCTTGCAAAGTTCTACTAACGAGAGGGCGTAATATATGTACTCGTTAAATTGGAACCGTTTGTCATTGCTCATCACTCGAGTTTGGTAGTAATCGAGCGGTGTTATTGGAACGGGTCTTTGTTCCCTAAGCCCATTTCGACCATCTGGGAATAACCTTATCCACGCTAGCTCTTCTGCTCTTTGCTCTCTCAAGACGCTGACCGGGGGCACAGTTTTCCGTTTGAGTTCGTAGATAGGTATTGGTCTCTCTTCTACGGTATTAGCGTTCGAAACAACTTCGTTTAGATCTGGAATATTAGTATCAATCGGCATAAGAGCTGTAGTAACAAACGCGTGTTCTTCGTGCACAGGATCACTGCTATTCAGATTGCCGTCGCTAACTATCTGAGTGTCGTGTTGTTCATTCAGTACTGGCGATTCATTTGGGATGACCAAGGGTGTTGCATTTATAGCTGTGATACTATACTGCATATCTCGATGGCCTCTTACCTGTAGTGCAACAGCAAGATGTTGACATAAATCGCCTTGATTTGCAAACTTCATCAACATGGAGGCTCCTCTGTTAGGTGCAACATAACCTTTGGGTCCCCGAGAATGTGAGTCGAATAAGTAATATTCTGGGATCTCGACATCGGGAGACTGATTGCGTTCGACGATTACTTTCATTACCGCCAATGCAATATTTGTTTGACATGTAATAATTCCTTTATCGTGTGTTGTAAAAAAATATTCAATCCCCGAAGACAAATTAGGGAAGTATCCTTCAAGAACGTCAGATGGCGCACTCGAGTTAACAACTCCAACGACAACATCGGGCTGTATATTTAATTCGAATTCTGTAGCGGCCACAGAAACTGCGGGTAATAGCTCTTCAGTATTTAAAAATTGCGGTCTGTTTGCAAGTCGTGACATGCACCTGTTGAAATATGTATTACCAGCTAATAAAATTCGATCCAAGTCAGATGGGGCCCATTCATTAAATGGTTTGGAACTGGAGTAGGCGATAGCCGTGGCGGCATTAGCCGTGCACTGGCGGCCACGGGATTCCTCTTCAAACCGATCACTGCCTTGGTGAAAAGACCCACGCAAGATGTGACGGTCATGTCCCAAAGCCTTGAAGTGATTTTTTGGCTCATTTCTAATGTGATCTGCATTTTCTAATGTGATAACTGCCTCCAGAATACTTGACCGTATCTCTTCATTGGTAATGTTAGTATTAATTTGCACATTAGAGTACAAATGATTGTTTCGCAATAGCCACTCTAATGCTTTCTTAATTTTTTCGATGTCTACCGAGTATCGTCGATTGTTTGTCACGTTATCTAAATTTTCAGTGACCACACTTATTCCCGCATTTGCTATATTCAATGGAAGCTGTTCAGGTATCTCTTCAACTTGCTGTGCAAAGAGGATGGCTTGCCCCTTAAATCCCTGTTGTCCGTAACGACCACCCAGACGCACCACTTTTATAAACGGTTTTATCCGAGAAATGAGCCGCAGCTCCATCTCTGATAGACATTCAATTTCAGGCGGAATAGGTGCAACAGTCATGTTGTTCCAAAATGCATTTGACGGGCACTGATTCCTTGACAATTTGTTGGCGCATCTATTGCAACAATCTATGCGGTCTGAAACATTTTGTGGTAGAACAGTAATATTAGCAGTTAAGATACTGCGTGACTGTTTCTTGTATAGAAGCTTATGACATACGTAGCACACCACATCCGCCACTTGAGAAATCGCTTCATTGAATGTGGCATCACTATTTGTAAACAACTGCCGTCGAACACGAGACTGTGACCTCATAGCCGAAAGTCTTTCTAAACGCGAGCCAGGTGATTCGTTGTTACGAGACTGCACAGCATACTCTCGCATCTGCTCGAGTCGAGAAGCGCGGGATGATGGAGACTCATGCTCACGAATTAATTCGGCATGCTCCCGCATCTGGTCGAGTCGGGCAGCGCGAGTTGGTGGAGACTCGTGTTCGCGAACATTTCCCGCATGCTCCCGCATCTGCTCGAGTCGAGCAGCGCGAGATGATGGAGACTCATGTTCACGAACGTTTGTGGCATATTCCCGCATCTGCTGGAGTCGTGTCATACGAGACGACGGGGACTCAGCAGCTCTCTTTTCAGATTTGCTAGCTGCAAGCCTACGCCGCTTTTGTTCCCTATCAACGCTAGACTCACGTGCTTGTAAAGTACGTCTACGGGTACTTTTGTTATTTATAAGCTCTTGACGTGAAGTAGGTGAAAGTTGGCTGTACCGTTGGGACATTCTTACTCTTGCTTCTATAAGGCGTTTTTCGCGTGCCTCAGGAGATTCGGCTTTTAATTTTTTAGCCCGAGCCTGAGCCCTTTTTGTTTTGCGAGATAATCCCATATTGTATGTTTTTATTTCTTAAAATGGTCTGATACCTATTGCCGAAAAAATCAGTACTAATGGAGAAGTACTTAATAATAATAAAAAAAAAACAGTTGAACTATAACTAAAAAAAAAATACAAAAAGAATAAGTGAGGATTGTTTAAAAGAATGTTACTTAAACTAACCAAAAATATCTACCTACCTAGTTATTTTATTAATAATTATTATTATATTATTAATTAATATGAATAATTTAAGAAAGAACCAAAAAAAAAAAACGGAAGAACGAGTTAATTAATTAGAAAGAACGAATAAATTTAAAGAGAGAAACACGAAAGAAAAAGAACGAGTTATTTATACTTTATAAGTTTCGCGTCAGACGACGAAGTATCGAAAAAATCGCTATTCAGAGACGACCGTCAACGACGTGTGCCCTTATGCGTGTGCCCGCATTCGGGCTGTATACTCGAGCATATCCCCCTCCGCACCGCGCCGCGCGCCGCATGCCAGGCCACGCCCTATCTTTTTGCTTGCTAACGCATGAGTTGCTTTGCGTTGACGCAGAATTAACATGTTTCCGTGAGAATTTTGAGAAAAAACGTATCCTATATTAATTATTACTCCCGTGATTGAAATGAATCTAATGATACCGCATACATATTTTTTTAAAGGGAAATTTAGAAAAAATATTATTATGTCTTTATCCCGTGGGACTTTTAGGATAAAATGTATCCTATGACACTCCCGTAATCAAGACAAATCTAACGATACCTCATACATCAAAATCCATCAAGCCGTTTAGGCTACAGGAGGTCACAAAGGAACAGACATACATACATACTTACATACACTCCCTCAACATTACCCTCCCTCTTTGGCAGTCGGGTAAAAAGTAGAATGTCATCATTGACAATCTGTTGTAACTGTTACTCCCTATCCCCTTACATTCATTCATAATTAGTAATTCAATAAACATAGACAAAACACTACATATCATAGTCCAAAGCCATTAAAGTGGTATGACTGTGCAATTAGGTCAGTAATAATGCACTAAGTTTTCAATTAAAAGAAAAACATTGCATAGCAAACGTCTGTATGACAAATAACTTTCAAAGTATATTGATGTATAGTCAACAGATGAAACAAGATTGCATTTTTTTTTTATACATATACATAAAAATTAAATTTCCTAAGCTTATAGCTTTTTAAGTACACCCACATACATACACGAACCAGACTTGTGTAAACACGAAAAAGATTAATTACATTAATTATATAACTTCTTAAAATACATGAAAGTATCTGAAAAAGAGTAAAAATGATTTTTTAATTAATTACCTTTGTACATTTCTTCTTCATCTTCATCAGTATGAAGCGCTCGGTATCTCTCCTCGTCGCAAAGCTGTTCCACATCCAGTTCAGCTCTGGTGAGCTCCACACGCCAGTCGTAGCCACCAGAAGGGGCTTCCAGCGATGACAGGTCATGCAGCGCTCCTCTTGCGTCATACCTGACCAGATAAACTAGCTTTAGTGCCTAATAACATTTAAGTGGAGACATACCGAAGAAGTTTTTCTTCATTTTACTAACATAAAAAATTGCCTTGCATTGCAAATACTATCTATTGCATACAATTTGATACTAAAATTATTTCAATATATGTATATGTGGCATTATAGATTTAATAATAAAACTGTAATTAATTTCATTTAGAAACTGTATTTTACAATATACCTTTTCTTTAGTTATTATAACACAGTATTTTTCAAAGATTCGTGCTGTGCATATAATTGAATACTTAGTAGTTTAGGGGTTAAAAAAGGGGTTTACAAGCCTTTTCAAACATAATTTATTTTTTATGATGAATCTATAATTGCTAAATCAGAATGACTTTTCGAAGAACAATCAAAAGCAGACATGTTGAATGAAGATAACATTGCAGTTCATACATACTCAAAGATACCGTACCAAGATATACATACCACCGGAGATTGTCACCGTGACAATACACTGCCCGCCTTAGCAGCCCGTCAGAATCGTCCAGGCACCAGCTTCAGAAAAACATCCTCTGCGAAAATCTTTAAGCTCTTCCAAAATTTTAACATTTTCTGTACAGACTATCATTTTAAATAATTTTAGCGGCACAGTTAGCAGTCTTATAGTAAAAAACGGATCGAACCTGTCGATTTTCAACGTTTCATCCCCCATCCACGGAATGAGGTGTTTTCCTTGATCAATGTGCAGGGCTCTCTCATTGTCCCTGAACAATTTGCACGAGTAGCCGAACACGAATAGTTCTTCTTTCTTCTCCTTGAACTCACTTTTACGTAATATACCCGATTCACTACGGTTGCCAGTCCATTTTACAGACATTTTGAGATAATCACTAAATGATTTTTAGCAGATCTAATTCATTTTTCGTTAGTGATAAGCAAGCACGACGCACGCAAACGACCCGAACAAAAATTTACATTGACACTTGACAGCTACATACACGTAATAATGTTTATAGTTTTTGAACGCAAAGGAAACAGACATACAGACTGAACGTCCCTATATCCAAAGTTCAACTAAATATTGGTGGCTGCGTGTTCGTTACTGGCACCCGCACATTTATTGTAATTCAGAGAAAACACGTTAAATAGATATTTAATCAAGGTTTAAAAAAAGGCTCTCTTTTTACAACACCCGTACACCACTCAGACAGTATTTCTTCAATAACTTGAAGCTTTTTTCAATAACCGTGTGTCGTTATCGATAGTAATCTTTTATTGTTGGTGAAACATCATAATGGAAGAATAGTTAGTTTTATGAAAATCCCATGAGAGCTTAACGTTTTCCGGAATAAAAAATAACTATAGGGTTAGTGAACCAGACATGCAAATCCATTCTGTTGTTTTTGTGTAACTGAGTAACAAACACCCAATCCGAATATAATTATATAAAAACGTTAACTTTAATGTTTTAAGATTCCCACAAAAACCTAAAAAATTTCGGGATTACAAGTACTCACTATGTAAATCTAAGTTATCTAAGTGATAAACAACATACATGCCAAATTTCATCCAAATCTGTCCAGCCTTTTTAGCATGAAAGAGTACCAAACATTCATAAAAACCTGTGCGGTGTTATGTAACATACAGTCTGTCAATAAAGTCCTGAAAAAAGGAGGTCGCTACCGTCGCTTATACGGTATCCCCGTTATACATCTACTAAAACACTTTGATATTTAAATCTAAAGAAAATATAACTAGAAAAAATTCCACGCGTACCAGGCAGCAGACGACACTTGAACCCGCATCCTTCGCAATCCGGGCGAATGCACTGACCAATTATGCTACCGTGGCCCTCACGGACCGCGTCGAAATTCTTCTAGCCAAATTTAAGCTGCAAGGCAGCGCCATCTCTTCGCATTATAGGTAACCCACAATGTCAAATGAATACATTTAGAAGTATTAAACATTTGGAAGAAGAAATAGCAGTTATAGTTACAATTTTTATTATTTTTAAAGCATATAACTGCTTGATTTTTAAATCTAAAGAAAGTCAATGCATTCACCCGGATTGCGAAGGATGCGGGTTCAAGCCCCGTCTGCTGCCTGGTCCGCGTGGAATTTTTATAGTTATATTTTCTTTAGATTTAAACATCAAGCAGTTACATGCTTTAAAAATATTAAAAATTATAACTTTGATATTTGTTAAAAAGCAAAAAATTGCACAATAATTTGACTTCCATGCATTTCATTATTATCTGATTTTCTGTGTTATCACCATCTTAAGATTTTTCTGAATCTGCCTGATACTTTGATTGAATTAAAAAATTCTACTCAAATTTTCTAGTTAAAAATTTCTTTACTCTTTATTTATAAATCGAGCAGATTAATGCTTAAAAACAAAACTATAATAAAATTATCAAAATTTGTCATGCTTGACTTTCATGGGCCGCGTTAGTAGACACTCAAGGCACTTACAAGGTGTCCCACAACGTGGAAAATCAAAAGAAAGAGTTATTATTATGTATATATTATTATTCAGAGCCCAAATCTAATTAACTTTAATATTAATATTACGTAAACATTCAGTAAACCAATCGCTACCACTAACAGACTAACACACTGCGACATTTCGCTTGCCCAAATAAGCTTCTTGCGCTTGCCCGACACTTACAACAGCCTGAGTGAGAATGTTGATATCTTCCATGACTCTTTTCTACTATTTAGGACTAAAGATTTTGAGTTATTAATAGATGCGTAGTCAAATTGTTTTTTATCTTTCATTTCGTTATATCGAAGAATTATATTAATTTTTTATTGCGTATAGTTTCAAAGGCGCCACTAATAGTTCATAAATTTCATTATTCATATCTTGTTTCAGTTTGTCTTTCTGTTTGTTCTTTAGTTAATATCCTGTTCGTTCGTACTGTCTCTTAAGCAGGATGTGGCTACCTTCAATAGAATTTTGAATTTTTAGTGTATCACTACTATAATGTTTAAAAATAAGATTTGTAACTTTCTCTGGTGGTCCTAATAAATAAAAAAATTAAAAATTTCGTCCACTATACGTCGAGCTATACTTTTGGAAACATCTTAAGCAAAGACAAGTTACATGATAAAAATCATGATCACATTTAAATAATGTCACAAAAGTATCAAATCTGTAGGGCGTAGTAGAAGTTTTTAGTTATTTTATTGACCTCGATACAAAGTAAACAATGCATAAAATCAGATGTAATTCTAGATAAAAACAGAAATGATGGTCACGGGAGTAGAATTCATTTATTTTCCAATGTTTACTTACCGGCTGCCTTTGCTGTTTGACCTTAAATGTCGTCAAATTCGTAAAACGACCTTCCTACTTGAAATATGGTCTTTAAGTTTAGGTTTAGAGAATTATGCCAGAATCGACACTATAATTTCCATGTCTTTCCATAGTATAGAGCATGACAAGAATACACTGGGATCGATTCTCGCATGAAACTCGAAACCGTAACTTGACAATATCCTTGTCATTTTCTATTCAGAATGAAAAGAAGAGACTGATGTTAAAAGTTTTAAGAATTATGCCAGAATCGGGCCCTTTAGTAATAGCATGTTAGTGGTGTCAATTCTGGCATGATTCTCTAAACTTAAAGCTAATTTTAATATCAGTCTCTCCTTCTCATTTTGTATAGATACTGACAAGGATACACTATTGTCAAATTTAAGTTTAGGTTTAGAGAATCATGCCAGAATCGACATCAGTGATGGTATGATGGCCAATTGGCCACAGCCACGGTGAAGGAGCGATTATTTTAGTTTATTTATGACTATGACCGTCATTTGTATTACTCGATTTGGTTAAAATAGCTTCTAAAGGAATATTTTTATTTTTCTCGGCATTTATAAATAATCAATAGGTATGATAAAACAAAAAAAAACCTGAAGAGAACATGAAGAGAATCATTTCCGTCCTTTCCATGTCATTTCTATCCAATAAAAAAGAATAAAAGTAAATGGCAACTGGATATTATCCAACCAATTTACGTTTGCCTCACTCTACAATTTAATTCTTACTGCGTATCTGACACAATTTTTTACCGTGTAATATACGTTTTCAAAAGGCATATGGCGGACGTTTTATATATTTTTGCATCGAAAACTGATAAATTCTTTTAGTTATGAGTATCTTGTGACCGCTAGAGCGTATTTGTTAAAATTAGCTGATTAACATTAGTTTTTAAATGTGTAAATAAGTTTATTATACCTAGAGTCTTGTAAATATTGATAGTATTTTCGTGCGTGGACGTTTTTATCCGTATTGAAAAACGAAAAGTCTGTGATATAAACAATACATTTAGGTGATAGATTAATTTCCTGAAATTTGTAAATATTGTAAAGTTATTTTAGAATTTAACAAAGTTAATATATTGAGCGAAGACTGAAAAATTGTGTGTTTGATCTGTTATATTTTTACTATGTCAGCTGTGAGCTTATTGACTTCTTTGAAAGAGAAATCGAACGACAGCCCAAAGGATGGCTCCAACAACGAAGGTACGTGTTACTTTGTTATTGCTGTATTCCGACTACCCACTTCTATATGAATTAAACCTAAGATTAAAGTAGATAAACTGTTCATTGATCATCTATTGTTTACCAATATGTAAGCCAGTGTCATTCACACAGAAAACTGTAACGAATATTTTTCAATTTACTTGATTATATCTGCAAGTTTTTGTTAAATAGGTCACAAGCGTTACAGAGTGATGCACGGTTTTGCTGCTAACTTACCTTCTCAAATACAGCCTCCCTCTATTACATTAAAATTCTACATTGCACCACTTAACATAAATATTTCTTATTGTTCTATGTGGGTATTAACAAAGTCTGTTTAAATAAAAATAAATCCATGTTAGGGTGTAGAAATCTACACCGACCGGAATGTTATTTGATTTTTAAGAATCCAATAGTTTTCCATTTGGAATTTTTTATACAATATGCTTTCTTATGCATAGATATGTGCCCCGTAGGACCTTTAGCAAAACCTGATCATAAATAATCTTTCTTTCTTTCTCAAAAATACTGTAAACTGTAACATTGTGTTTTGCTATGCAATATTGAGTATTGTATAAACCTTACTATGGGGACAAAGATATAATCAAATGAGATAAATATAACTTGTGTACTTTTCTATATACATTTTTTTTTATTGTTATCCAGCACATTGGATTGCTCTACTTAATTTTAGTTCAGATGCAAAGGCAGTTTGCCTCTGAACTAGAGAATGACTAACTAACTGGTAGGTAGTCGATTGATTCTGATTCTCCACCTAAACAAGCAGCATATTATAGCTCTTGAAACAAACAATTACATCGAAGCAAACCAAACCATTCATCAAACATTGTCCCTGTTTGTATGGTTAAGATTCACAAACATAGTATTCATCTGGGATAACATATAATACATCCAGAGGAAATTAAATCTCTAAAAGCTGGAAATGTTCTAAGCTTCTTGGAAGCTCTTGGGCTAAAAGAGATACTTTAACTTGGTGGCGAGTCATCTTTAGGTTGCAGTGCCACAGTTCTATTAGGACTGCATGGCCCCAAAACACTGGTATAATAATAAATTATAATGGTCAAGATTATCTCAAAAACTGTGGGTTGTCGTTTCATGCTTTTTTACACCATCAATTTAAATTTTCAAGGAATATTTGTAGTTGTAATGTATGCCTGACTACAAAAAATACAGTGTGGCTAGTATGGGCCACTATTATAATATATATTGATGCAGATACCTTAGTAAATTAAATTTTGAATAGGTAAATTGTACTGAAACTGAGAGTTGGAAAATACCTTGAATTAGTAGGTAATCTACTTTATTGGCCTTTAGCCAACTATATTCGATAAATAACATGTTAGAGCTTATCTTGTAACGAAAATTAAACTAAGAGGAGTTAAATTTATGTTATAAGATGCAGCATTACAGCATTGCCTTAATACTAATTAATTTAAATAAAGTTATTAAAAACTTTTTTTTTAAAACATTTCTTTTTGATAAATTGTAATACATTAAAAGCTCCTTATTCAGATTTCCTTTATTAGCATTTTCACTATTCACGGATTAAAAAATTGTGACTGAATTCCTATATTTGCGGCTAAAAATTTCTTTATTGGTGGATTATCAAAAAAAAAAAGGATTCGGTCCCCTTTATTAACACATCGGCAGATAGAGTAATTATAAAAGTTTTAAGTAATAGTAAAACTGATCTTATTATAACTTAGCCTAAAGTATGTTGTCAAATGCTATTGCCCCCAGTGCATGAGACTGTTCGCCTTTTCCTGTCAAATGAACAGCCTTCGCCGCAGTCGGTGTTTTGATAATGTAACCAAGCAGCCAGAAAAATAAAAATTTATAATATTGTGAAAGACTTCAATTATCTTGATTAATTAAAAAAATATATGTATAGTAGTATGCCACCCACTACTACTCGTGGAACATATCCCCTATAATCCCAGATAAATCACCACTCCATATTCACAGTTTCTGTATTCGTGGCATATTTCTAGAACGAATACACCGCTAATAAGGAGCTTTTACTGTATAATTTTATTTAAAAATATTCTGGTTTGTATGTGAATCTGCTTGATTTATCTTTTACACCAAAAATATGGGATTCCGTGAATAGTGAAATAATATGCATATTTTTCAAATTGCAGAATTTGGTTATGCATCCATTGCTTGTGCAATCAAAGTTATATCAAGAATGAATAATGTTATAAATAGGATATGAATACAAGGCTAATATTTCGATCCTTTATATTTACATTGGTTTTTACCCGTTTGACATTAGGTAATGCAAATTTCAAACACTTTGTTTTCCCTTCATTAAGCAGTCAATTATTAACATTGAACCATTGGACTACCTTAGAAATAGTCTTGTTCATTTGTCAATTTGTGACTGCCTATGTTTAATTTTAAACAAAAGTGAAGTGTCATCCGCAAGCAATACTATTTCGTTTTGTTTGTAGAACTAAGGCTGTGTCCCCAGTAAGCAAACTGTCAGCGGCCGACTGAGTGAGCCGCAAATTTGCAGCGAACTGAAATTTGAGTTAGCTGCAGACTCAAATCAATTTTCGTGCGTCGCAAGCAAACTGTTAAGAGTTAGCCGCTTATTTAGCCGACCGACTTAATTATCACTTTACTTTTGTTGTACGAAGGGAGTGGTTGTGTTGGTCACGATGGATATTTTTGAAGTAATTGGTATCTTAGAAGCGCTGAAAGAGGATAAAAGGAAGCACTGGGTTCACCCATTATACAAGAAAAGGTTGAGCATTGGACAATTTCACACTCTTTATCCAGAACTAAGGAAACATCCAGAAAAATTTTACGACTATTTCAATATGACTTCTCATACATTTGATGAATTGTTGAAATCTATAACCCAGTACATAGCTAAAAATAATATCACAAGAGATACATTATGTCCCGAAGAACGGCTTACTATAACTTTGAGGTAAGTAAATAATTAACGCTTTAGGATTTTAAAAAAATATGTTATTTTTATTGTAATACAAAGTCACTTTCGCATTTATAGTTTTTAATTTAACAATCACTTTTCAAAGTTACTGTATTATTAAATTGAATTAGGAACATATATGGTAACATTAAGTTGGTAACCTGTCATTCCTCATCTTCAGTGTGGTTTGAATCGCCTCGCAATATTGCTTCTATGTCTTCTATTTCCGCTGAAGAACCTGTAGAGCTATGTGATGGACTGTTTCGAGGGTAGTTTTGCACATTTGGTGTACTGCTGCTTCCACTCGCATAGCCATACTGATGTGGGTACTGGTAGGCATTCGTCCATCCAGTTTGCATCATACCACCGTCATAATTATTATGTACACTATATTTTATATTTTTAATAATTTTCATCACTTCGAACCGAAATTCAAAATTCTGTGTTGGGGACATTGTCTTCATTTCCGGTAAAATATTTAGTAGAAAGTTCATATCTGGATCGTTTTCTCTTTTTTTTTCCATCGAGTTAATTAGGGCTTCTTGAAACACAGTCATCTTTTTTGGTCTACTGACATTAACTACCGAGTCAGTAGAATCATTTTCATCTAAAATAGCGCTACTGTCGCTAGACGTCTCGGCGCTAATATTGCCAGATGTCTGGTTGCTAGCTCTAGAAACATTTAAAAACTGTAACATGTCCAAGTATGGTGTCTTGCGTTTTTTTGTTGCGCCACTTCCGCTTTTGACTGAGGAATCCTTATTTTTTTCTCTGGTGTGATAGTCGCGCAAACCCTTCCATTTTTTTTGTAGGTCTTTTACTGAAACAGAAATAATCGGTAGTTCAATATTCTTTCCAGATTCTTGTCAAGTGGACTAAGTTACAGAAAAATTGCACAAGAGTTTCTTGTTGGAAAATCGACGGTATCGAAAATAATAAGTGAAACTGCATGCATTATATGGGATATTTTACAGCCACAGGAAATGCCGGAACCTTCTGAAGAATTGTGGCTAGAAATAGCAAAACGATATTATAAAAAAACCAACTATCCTAATTGTATAGGATCTATCGATGGCAAGCATATCCGTATTAGAAAACCACCAAAAAGTGGGTCTAACTATTTTAATTATAAGAAGTTCTTCTCAATTGTTCTGTTAGCCGTAGCAGATGCAAACTGTTCTTTTATAGCTATTGATGTAGGTGCTTGCGGACGAAATGCTGACAGTAATATATTTAAAGAAAGTGGTTTTGGCAAAAAATTGGCGTGTGGGTCTCTGAAGATTCCTAACTCAACTAAATTGCCTAATTCAAATGGATTGCCCCAACCTTTAGTGTTTCTTGGAGATGAGGCATTTGGATTACAAAAGCATATCTTGAGGCCTTTTCCTAATAAAAGTTTAAATAAGGAAGAGCGAATTTACAATTATCGTCATAGTCGAGCTAGGAGATGCGTGGAATGTGCATTCGGCATCCTAACAAGCAAATGGAGAGTTCTGCATACACCGATCGCTACTAATGTGAATACAACCATCGCTATCGTAAAAGCCGTTTGTATTTTACATAATTTTGTCATAGCAAGAGAACAAGCACAATATGCACATATTTCGCGACGTACCTCAACAACTCTTACAAGTTCAAGGAGCCAAATTATTACTGTATCAAATTCTGGAAAAACAACAAGAGAAAACTTTAAAAACTATTTTCTTAACGAAGGAAAGCTATCCTGGCAAGAGAAATATTTGTAAGTTGTAGCTACAGGAAGAAATAGTGTAACGGAGTGTGTAAAGCCGTAAATACTATGTAAATTATGATACTTTGTTTTATGTAGTGAGTGATACAAGTATATTGTTGAATAAATAATAAATTCATTAGAATGGAACTTACTTCTTTTTTGTTTAGTGTTTTCTTCTAAGTTTTGCCAATCATCGTATATAATTTCAGCGACTTCATTCCAATTGCTCTGCTTTAATACTCTGTTGCTGTATTCTTCACTCGACATGTTCCATATGCATGGTCTATTCTGTATTTCACTAATGAA